TCACGGTAATTAGGCTTCTCCAAGCTCTGATGCTGCTGATGGTCATTAGTAGCCTACCAAACTTGCTAACTGCCTGGTACTCAGCACTCTATTGTCCCTCTAATCACTCTGACATCAATGCAAATGTAATCGAAAATCCCATCAAACACTTCATGAGAGCCCATGAGCTCATGTCGCGCAACATTTCTATAGGCTTTGCAATTGCGCGAGAAAACAGAGTGATGGCCTCTACTAAAAAGAGGAGGATCCCATCACCTTTCTACAGATTTATTTCTCTACTTTCCTAATATTAAGCACATTGTTTATCTTTACAACAGGAGTATAGCCTACCTGGCTGGCATGAAAATGAACCACAGGAAAAGCGTCCTCCATTCGCTATTTAAGTGCATAGATTACATGTATTTTTTCCCACTGCCCCTGTTTCGAGACAGGTGCATGATAATGGTCCATTCTAAATCCAAACAAATTTCACACATATATTATTTAGTAGATGTAAAGACAAGATTAAATCAAGAATAGTCTGATGGGTGACAATATTAGCCTATCACTTGTGAATTATATATTATCACTTGTGAATGATGCCCAGCATAAGAAACAGCCTTTTTTTTGCTACTTTTTCGAATCATAGTCGCACACCTCATGTAGCCTAGCCCATAAGCCTATATGTTTTGATAAGGTTTGTATCACAACTAAAGTGGCCAAATAACTTCTTAAAATTAAGCACATTAATCCGCTTTACAAGGGGTATGGAGCCTATCTGGCATACATAAGCAGTGCGTGAGTTTCAAGTTTGGGGAAGATAATTTTCACCATAAAGATACACCTTTATAATAAAAGCATTACATGCATAATCGCATTTGCAGTCACTTTTGATAATTGTGTTTTCCCGCTAATGGAACATTTGCGCTTATAGCCTACTGCCATGTGCGCATTGTTGCGCTTATAATGTGAAGAAATAGCCTAATAGTTTAACAACATTTTAAGCTAAGTGTTCTGATCTGTTGCGTCAGCCACATTGTGTAAAAAAGTTTTTTCTGATGCTAGTGGTTGTATTAATTTGGGATCTATTGCACCCCACAACTGTCCCAGACTATGTTTGGAATATGTATTTATTGCACAGAATAGAATAGGTCGACTTTTGTACTATGGGGGATAGTAGATTGACATAGGCTAGTGCTTTTGCTGTTCGTTAGGCCTACTCATCTTGTTGGCTTACGAAAAGTAAATGTGGACAGTTTTTCCAAAATCTTCAATATGCACCTCGGAATTGGGTAAGGACGCGCGCAGTTGTGTCCCCGATGTGTCTGTCTTCACTTGTAGCCTGTGAGAAAGACCCGATCGCGTGACGGAGAGCCATGTGAGTGAGAGGTGCTTTGGATTGTGCAGCACACTCAGGGAGAAGGGCACAATGCACCACTCCGGCCCGCAAATGGGATGCTGCCATGAAATTCGAGGCATTATCAAGTGCTTGTCAAATTGTGAATGAGAGACTGAAGTGTGTACAGCCTGTGCAAAAAACAAAGCAGAGCTCATGCCTTTCAAGCAACTTTTTTCAAATCATCATTAGTCTCATCATGCAGCCTTACAATGTATTAAAAATCAAAACATATAGCCCAACGTTTGTAGAACAACTTAAGTTACATTAATACCTCTAAATTAAGCATATAGGAGGACCTATTTCTTTGTTAACCGCTCAACACAGAATAGCCACATGTGCGCACTCCCTCAAATCGTTTGTAGAAAATATTTATATTTTATTCAGCTTTGTTCAATTGTATTCTCCATACTATAAAATAATATAAAATAATGCCACGGAATTCTAAGCAAATCTTGTCTGCTAAATGAACTAGTGTAGCCCACAGCCCTTTGGCATAGCCACATCAGGACCTAACATAATGACAACTCAGAATGTGCTATTCTTTTCTTCTGAAATAGACTACATTTTACTCATATCATGCTTCTTTAGACCTGTCTGAAATAAAGAATGGATTCATTGTGAAGGTGTAGGCTATATTACATGGATTTATTAGACCTTTTAAAATGTAGATGTTCCAAAGGTCTGCATCAGTGGCTTGTAGGCTGTGTGTGGAAGCCAGGAGATGCTAAATGTGTTTATGTTAATTAACGGTAAATTACCATGAGACCAACAGTTATTTGCTTGACAATCACTGGCTGACGAAATTTCGTGACCGCCACAGCCCTACCCACCACCACAGTTTGTGTCGTCTGTCAGCTGGGCCATTCCATACGAGGTTGGCGCAAAGATATTTATGATGTTTAGGATCTTCCTGAAATGAAGTCCATAGAAAGGTCATTTGGTGGAAGGATGCATTTGGCATACTTTAAAAATCTGTATCCAAAATAACTACTGTAAAGTTGGGAAACGTGTGTGATTTTGGCCTTACCCAGGCCTTCTTTAAAACACTACAACGATGAGTCTGTAGATGCTACAAAACCAGTCTTGGTGTCATTTGAAACTTACTGTGTGCTCTGAACTGTAAGTAGTGTTTAGAGAAAGAATACAATTTCTGTACATTCATTTATTGATACTAGAAAATATATGTAAATATCTTAAAAGTACCCTTTTTGAGATTGAACTTCACTCAACCTTCTATGCAAGACTTAGTATGCAAAACTAACTATGCAAGAGATTGTCTTGTAGGCAGAACGCACCGGAGTAGGATTCTATTGCATTGACAGGCATGACACTACAGACCAGTGCGACATAACCAATCAGAGCTGCAGTATCCCTATATGCAAATAGACCATTGCCATACAGTTTATGGATCTGTGCCATTCCTTTGAACTGGACTGTGTTTACAGCATGAGTGGTCGCAAGTAGATGCACTTGTTTTGAGATCTGCATGTAGCCACTTGTGCACATTTGTTCATATTCTTTGCTAGTAAGTGAGTTAATGGCCCAGTTATAGCTAATTTCTAGTCATAAGTGGGGGAGGGGTTGCTTCCTACAAGAGCACAAAACGTGTGCATTTCTAGGCATTTTTGAAAAGCGAGTCAGGTAAATAAATGTTTTTCTGTCTTAAAGGGGCAGTGTTGTATTTTGAGACATGCTTGAATAAGCTAAGTAGCCAATAGGCAGAGGGTAGCATAGTTTGTCTGATTCACTGTAATAATGGTATGGGATTAATAATTAACTTTATTTTGTAAATGTTGTAAACAAATCCAGTCACCTCCTTGTCTGAAGGACAAGTGGATAAACAGGTTGTCAAGCCCTGCATATTTTGTCCAAAAGTCTCACTGAATCGAGGCCTACATTGAACACCACACATTGGCTGCTACTGTAGGCTGAATGATAGAACAGCTATTTCCATGTTCAAATGTTATGGGATGCATTTTCTCCATTGTTTATGTTAGGCCACTCTGATAGGCCTACGTTATGATCAAATAGCCACAGTAGCCTACTTGGCCATTGTTATAACAGTAACTTAAAGCGGGTACAGTCTCAGTGTTCATAATAAACGCGCGTCAGAAGTTGCATAGAATTTTCACAACCTTCACGTTTGCGCTCAGCAGACCTGGAATTTACTCAGTGCCGAAAAGAATGAGGGAACATTGTCTACAAGTACCACACATTTCAGGTCTTGTAATCTAACCTAAGTGCAAGGTCACATGCGAGACTTTATAAGTACAGCCACTGGCCAGAGAAGCCGGTATGGCATCTGTCTTATGCCTTTGTATTCAACAGCACTTATGCGGCTAGGGCTTGGCTGATGGAGGAATATCAATTATGCAAATACGTTCAGCAGATTGACGTCATAGTTCGAATTTTATGCCATCTGGGGAGAGAGCATTTGCATCAGAGGGCGAGGGGAAGAGCAGGAAAAGAGGAGGGGAGGGGGAGGAGAGGAGCATTAATAAATATTGTTAGTAGTTTTGTCAAATGTTGTTGTTTTTGTTGTTTAGGACACCAGTGGGGACCTGTTAGGGTTCCATCATTTAATGACAAAATCATTGAGGCGTCTTTGGGTGGTGGGAAAGTTAGTGAGTGGTGACATTTGAGTGGTTCTCTTTGCTCCATGTGCCTTGTGTGATTTCCCAGTGGCCAATACTGAAACCCATCCTGTTGCTGCTAATTAGACAGCATTCTCTGGGTGAGCAATTTCCCACAGGCCAGTTGTGTTTAGCTTCATTAGCTGAAACTGAGCTTGGGCAAGGGTTTGGACAACAGTACTGGGAATCTATCACAGATCCCTTTAAATCACATGAACTACTTTACCAAGAAGAGGCACATTTAATTGAGAGTTTGTATTGAGAGTTTGACGAGATGGATAACTGAATTGGGACAATACAGAGTTGAAATAAAATATCTGAATGTGTTGTTGAGTTGGAAGAAATTGTGAGTAACAAGAAATAACAGTACATTTCTGTTCATTTACCAAACTTGCTGGTTTTTGGAAGAAACTGTACCACGTATGTTTTAAAGGATGTTGTATCAGTACCAAATTACTTACTTTTGACAACCATGGAATCAATAACAATGAGGAGAGAAGAGAAGACAGGAGAGGAACTGATTGGGCTGTGTGCTCTAGGGGCCTCTCTCTCTCTCGCTGCAGGGAGCTCTGCATGACCCCTGTAGTGTAAAGAATGACCGGGTCCTGCAGAGGGCTTTAATGTCCTCCACTGTCACGTGGCTATAGCTGCATGTGACACAGCAGAATGGCACCCCCCACCTCCCCTGATTGTTACAGTAGAAGTGCCACAGGGCAGTCGGGGGGGGGGGGGGGGGGGGGGGGGGTGGTTCGTTCAATGTTTCTGTTTTTACTGCGTATTAGGTTACCAACTCTGTGAAATGTGCGTCATTAAAGTTTTTATGTAAATGCTTTTGTAAGACCACCCGCTGTAGACGTATGACTGCCGAAATTTTTCACACGATTCTACATGTAAAATCGGTGCGCACTCGGCCAGCAAACCTTATTGGTGTGTCTGAGCCCTTAATGATCCCTTCCTTGTGTCCTTGCAGAGACGAGGGGCGATCTCTTATGACAGTGAGGATCAAACAGCTCTCTACATTCGGATGCTCGGTACGTATGGTATGATATTCACTTGATTTTTCTCAATCCATAAATATTGAAACATTGTATGACCTTTTTCACCACCCATATGAATATTGATGATTTAAGGAATGGTTTGATGCATGTTTGTTAATTAGTAGATAAGCAATAGCCCTACTGCTGCAATATCTTCCATGTCTAATCTTATGTGTACATCTATGGGTACTTTTACCCAGCAAGGTGGCTGGTATCCTAGTGGTTAGAGCGTAGGCCAGTAACTGAAAGGTTGCCGTTTAGAATCCCTGAGGCTCCTGTAAGTCACTCTGGATAAGAACGTCTGCTAAATGAATAAAATGTCAATGTAAGGTCTAATAGTACTTTAGCCATGCTGACGAAGAAAGGGAATGTGTTTCTGTTTTACGATCATGTCTCTTATGAATACAGGATCTTTAACACGTGCTCTTTCTTAGTCAGTATGGCTAACAGTTCTTTTTTTTTGGGGGGGGGGGGGGGGGTAGATCAGCTTAATATTGCAGATAGAATGTAACTTCCATCAATGTAATTGTCTGCATCACTTCCAATCCCCCATGTTTTATATATATATATATATATATATATATATATATATATATATATATACACACATACACACCCACATACATACATACATACATACATACATACATATCCTTTAAAATAATATATATATTCCCCTTTATTACTTTCCAACCCCGCCACCCTTTCCCCACTTGGAGTAAACTAGTGAACAACAACGCCTAGGCCTCTACTTCCAGCCCATACCCACTATCTACATTTTATGGACACAGTCAATTTTACAATAATTACATTCTGTTTGTTCTTTCTCCTGAACTTCTTCTAGTCTCAACCTCTCTGATCATTTTCATGATGTCCATCCGGTTTGCTTCTATATGCCATATCTTTCTAACTGTGCTCCTTCACAAAAGCTCCCAACCTACAACCCATACACTTATTATGGACACAGCGTGCCTACATTATTAGTTATCTTGTTATTGTTTGTCATTAGTTGTTATTAGTCCCATCCATCAATTCCATTCAACACCTCCCATCTATCTTTTAACACCATCTATATAGGATTTCTATTTGCCATATATATTTCAACTGTACTGTGATGTCTTACAAAAGTTCTGAACCTTTCTATTCTCATTGTTTCTACAGATTGTGAATTGAAAATAAACATTGTTGCTAATAGTATTATTATGTTATTGATCGATTGACTATGACTTTTCAGATCACCCAGTAGTGCTATCTGCACAGTTCTTAAGATATTTTAAATCACAGGCGAGGAATGCAAGATGTCTCCCAACTAGATAACTACCTAACTCTATCTAATATAACTGCAGAGTCTGTTTTGATCTAGTCTGAATAGAGAAGCCTGCCTCTTCTCCAGCTCACTGACACCAGTGTGAATACTAATTTGTCACAGCCATGCTTCCTGTTCAGCTGTGTCTGTGTTGCCTCAGCCTTTGTCTCCCAAATGGCACCCTATACCCTATGTAGTGCACTACTTTTTACCAGAGCCATATGGGCCCTGGTCAAAAGTAGTGCACTACATAGGGAATAAGGTGCCATTTGAAACAAACACACCCTCAGTCTCTGCAGGCCCAATGCTTTATTAAATGAAACCCCTCTTTATTGCCAGTACCTTGAGGACCATGTTTTCCCATTCCTTCTAGGAGATGTGAGAGTCAGAAGCAAGGTGGGGTTTGAACCGGAGCGAAGAGGGTCCCATCCCTACTTGTATGTTGATTTCCGAACTTTGCACTGTAAGTATGAACCAAAAACTCTCATTCAATGTGCGACCACCCTTTAAAACCTATTTTATCAATAAAGAAGCTGAACCATTTTGCAACCCATGATTTGTTGCTTGTTGCTCTTATGATTGAAGTAACCCTGTCTGATACATAGACTTATGAACTAAATGGTAGATGTGAAGTGAACACTCAATCCCTAATCTAAATGTTGGCAAGATACACATCCACATACTGTAGTGGGTATAATGGATATGAGACTTAAGTGAGTTCTATTTTTGCTACATTTAAACTGTCATGTGCTTGAATTAATTAAATTAAAGCATTTGATATTATTCACTTGTCAAATTAGATTTTCTGAAAAGGTCTATGAAAAGACCATTGTACAAAGTCTCTCTAACAAATTGATAAATGGAAGCCATCCAGCTGGCTGTCCTATTGACGTGATATGTGTTGTGTTTGCTGACTGTTCAAAACTTTCCAGCAATCAATATTGCATTTTAGAATGTTTTGGGACCATCACCTATTAGACATTAGACATTAGACATTAATTTGTCCTGGCTTTGTCTGTTAATGCCTTGATCTTTCCAAGAGTCTTCTAGAATGCTGGTTTGCTGCTAGAGGCCATTTGAAGCTTGCTAGTCTGCCATGGTTGGTGAGTGTGCGTTGACAATGCAGGACTCAGATTGGTGGGCTGCCAGCTGGCTGGAGAATGGGCTGCTGTGTCAGCAGCATGTCTGCACACTCACACCTCTTTGCACCAGTCACAGTGGTGGGGGTGGCCACGGCATGGCGGGCTCAAATCCTCTCTGTGTTTGTCCTCTGTCAATGCTACTCACTGTTTGAATTGACTTGGGATTCTTTACACTTCCCTCGTCTTTTCAAAAGGTTTCACAGTATACAGGTTAACTCTTTTATGAAATGCATCTGTTGTATATTGAGGTTAGTACAGTACAGTACAGTATCAACCCTAATGTTATTGACTTTTTTTTACGTGTTTTTGACTTTTTCCTGAATGATATGCTGTGCTCTGCTTTTAGTACAGAGAGTGTAGATTAGAGTTGTGTACAGATATGGAGAATGAAATTCTGTAATAGAACTTTGTTTGAAAACCTTTCAGTGTTCTAGAGCTCCAAAAGCCAACAGACAAATGGTGTTTGTTTTTTAAAAATCATAACAATATTGCATGTGAAGTAGCTAGCTAGCTAACTGCAACTTGAAATACTACTTAGCTATGGAAAAGAAAGGTAGTAAGTGAACTTCTGGCGGTTGTGGAGATGGACATCTCTTGAAAGCTACTTGAAAAATAATGCAACAAAGCATCATGTTACTCTTACCTGTAAATGAATTAAGTTGTTAGCTATATAAACTTGGCTTAGCTTTAGAGCAAAGTGAGTACATTTCAACCATAGCTAATCATCCTGTGCTTTTGTTTCCACAGCCCGACCCCAGTCTGCGGGGCCTGTGTCTGCTAGGAATGTCCGCAGGCAGCTGAGCTTTCAGAGGTACCTCCACTCGTCACAGTTCATCCGCGGTATCCCAGCCTCCAACTCTCTAGGCTACATCCTTGACGATGACTACACAGGTCAAGCCAAGGTCAGTGGCAATCTATCCAGCAACAGTCTTTCCTAAATATGTAAGTATTATAGTATCACTGAGTAATAATTGGTCAGGTGATAATTGTAACCCAATATATTTCTTCATGTGTTTCAGTTAATGCTGGAGAAGGTTGGAAACTGGAACTTTGACATGTTCCTTTTTGACAGACTTACAAACGGTAAGGTGTTTTCCTAGGTGATTGTTGCCCTCTGCTGTTTGAGAATTACAAATGCAATGCATGCCTGCTTTATTTTCTGACCCTGACACATATTGCTCTCTATTTTCATTTGGAAAATGTTCAATCACATAATAGTTTTCTATAAATGCGGATGGAGAATGACGTGATGTTTTTGTGGATGGCGTTTTGCTAGTCAGACTAATTAGATGTGGTTGGAGTTCAGCTTTAGATTAAGGAGTAGGACTATTACATTGTGTGTCCCTTTCCTTGTCTGTTATTACAAACTGTAGTGTTATTATGCATTTGTTGATTCATTGTTTCTGTTCTGCTTACTTACAGGGAACAGCCTCGTCAACCTGACTTTTCACTTATTCAACAGTTATGGGTTAATTGAGCTCTTCCAGTTGGACATGGTTAAACTTAGAAGATTTTTAGGTATTGAAATACATACATTTGAAATGATTAAATACACCATATTGCACTGGGACATGGGTTTATTTAAACCCAATATTGTCTACTTGAATGAAGTGGTGATGCATAGTTGAAACTCTACAAATGAAATGAATACCCAATGTGTTTGTTTTTGTGGTTGTTGTTGTTGTTGTTGTTATTAGTCATGATTCAAGAGGACTACCGCAGCCAGAACCCCTACCACAATGCAGTCCATGCTGCAGACGTGACTCAGGCCATGTATTGTTACCTGCAGGAGCCCAAGGTGAGAGGAAATTACACTGTTTACCACTAACAATTTACTCATCTACAACTGAAAAGGTCATTCAAATATATCAATACTCTAAGCTTTTCAAATGTCTTTGAAAATGTGTTTATTTGTTTGTAATGTTTTGTGATTTATTTTGTAGAAGGATGTGTAGATTTTTGTAAGACATTTGAGCTTGTATCCTTCAAAATGTGTGGACAAAACAAATAAAATAAAAAATCTACAAGTACACCTGGAGAAGTTTGTTCCAACTGTAACTATTCATGAGGAGTCTGATGAGGAGGGTTCTGTGTGTTTGCAGCTTGCTGAGACGCTGACTTCCTGTGATCTCCTGCTGGGTCTGCTGGCTGCTGCCACCCATGATTTGGACCATCCAGGCGTCAACCAGCCTTTCCTCATCAAAACAAACCATTATCTAGCAGCACTGTACAAGGTAAGGCCCTATACTGGAAATAGCCCATGGGCTCAATGCTGATGAAAAAAAAAATCCAAACTGGGATCAACAACGTACTACTCTACTTTCTCTACTAGGGCTGTCCCCAACTAAAAACAATCGATTGGTCGAAATGTTTAAACCTATTTTTCCATATATAGACAGACACACGCTGTGTTTGAATAAAACCAACTACATATGCACTGAGCTTGTCTGAAGCTTTAAGCACACTGTTTGATTAAATAATTAAAACATACAAATGACTCAAGGAAGAGCCCGATGGTCACGCTGTGTTAAAAAACGAGTGCACGTTGTCTTGCTCTCCTCCCTACTGCAGCGAAAAGGCAGCACAGTAAGTGTTTATTGCGCTGTCTGTGCTGAAGCTGCAAGATCATTTCAGCCATTTAGTTTCTGACTGAAAAGTTCTGTTACCGAAACATTCCCTATTCCCTCCACCCTTGCTCTCTTTACGTGAAACAAGCATCGCATGCATGTGACCAATAGGGCCTGACCTATAGCCTATCCTAATCACATCAATAAATTGCTTATAACAAACTCCGAACACAGTAATGTCGACAGCAAAATGGATGCGGAGGACGTGAAAAAGAAACTCTAAATGGGCAAATGTTTACTGGTTGTTCAGGAGGGAAAGGGGAAGTCAGATCTGTGGTAGACATTTGACATAGTTGTGGAAACTACTGGAGATCAAGAAAAAGGAAGGTGTAGGAGCAAGCGTTGTGTGAGTGTTATGTGTGCCAAACAGTTGCTGTTAGATTACAATATTTTTTCTGACCATTTGGAACATTGTTAACAACACTAAATAAATAAGTGTACCAGAGAGTCTGTGCTAACGCAATTTTTTTATATATATAAAGCCTTTATTACAGCAGAGTATGCATTCGTGAATTGCGGTTTATTTATTGTTTAGGCTAATTATTAAAACAATTAAATGATTGATTTGCATTTCAAAGCATGAATGTCTCGTATGCTGTGTGATGGCATGAACAAATAAATTATTGATTGATTGATACAGTAGCCTGTATATTGAAAGTAAGTTACGATATTAAGACTAAACAGGACGCGCTCTTAGGCCTACAGCTAGATGGTGGTTATACAAGGCTACTATACAAAGGCTACTAATGATAACGACATTACTTATTATTATAATGTCATAATAATAATTGTAATAATAACAATAAGAAGGAGATCAAGAAAAAGGAGGGTATAGGAGCGAGAGCTGCGTGCATATTATGTGTGACAAACAGGTGCTGTTAGATTACAATATTATTTTTCTGCCTGTTTGGAACAGTAATACCAATAAGTAATACCGGTCTGTTCTAACCAAAAAAAATTGTAAAGCTTTTATTACAGCATAGCAAAGATAAAAAAACAGCCAAATCTGTGAAATTGCTTTATCCGACATTTTGCCATTGCATGAGGCTTGGTGTTCATGGAATCAGTATGCTATTAAACAAACACTCAAACAGGCAACAGAAGCAAGATCTGTCTTATTTCTGTAGATATACATTACCAGTCAAAGGTTTGGACACACCTACTCATTCCAGGGTTTTTCTTTATTTTTACTATTTTCTACATTGTAGAATAATAGTGAAGACATCAAAACTATGAAATAACACATATGGAATCATGTAGTAATCAAAAAAGTGTTAAACAAATCAAAATATATTTTATATTTGAGATTCTTCAAAGTAGCCACCCTTTGCCTTGATAAATATGACAGCTTTGCACACTCTTGGTATTCTTTCAACCAGGTAGTCACCTGGAATGCATTTCCAACAGTCTTGAAGGTGTTCCCACATATGCTGAGCACTTGTTGGCTGCTTTTGTGTTTTGTGCTTGTGCACATAATTACATTACCCGACCACCCCCAGTAAAACTAATCCCGTTCGAATAGGGCTTAAGACAAGGGCTGTTTCCTCGTCTCTGCTGCTGGAGCCCCTGCTGCATTGTTCTCAATCCCAATATGCTAGTTAATTTTGCTATTATGCACATATCAACATAGGGAAAGGCGCCAATTCTACGGCGCACTGAAGATTATGTTTCAGAACTGTGGACAGCGACCATATCCAACGCGGGAGAAAGTGCATTTGTTATAAAATATGAGATTTAGATTGCACCATTATTTTTACATAATATAACGATATATAATTTCAGTATCACGTCTGAGACAGATGTGAATCAGACAGGTGTCTTGTGCACCAGGAAAAAATGCATTAATTGCGACTGCTCGACTAAAGAAATCTCGGTCGAACATCAGCCTATCGACCAAACAATCGACCAGGGGGTCAGCCCTATTCTCTACTCATTATTTGAGTCTCTTTGATGGATAAAATGCTGATATAGTTGTCCATAAAATGTTGAATGACTTTAAAATTCATGTTAATGGCTGGCATCAGACATCAACTAGCCCATGTACAATATAATGATCTCTTTAATACTCTAAGTATTTTTTGGTTGTGTTTGCCATTGTAGAATATCTCTGTTTTGGAGAATCACCACTGGAAGTCTGCTGTGGGCCTGCTCCGAGAGTCAGCACTCTTGTCCCACCTTCCCACTGAGGACAGGTCAGTTCACAGACAGAGCACCTACTATAACAACTTTATTTGTCCCTTTAGGGCAATTCTAACAGGACAATATGGAAAAAGTCAAGGGGTCTGAATACTTTCCGAAGGCACTGTATATAGCGCCTGTAGGAGAGACCTGTAGGAGAGACGTTTTTGTTTTGTTACTGGAGACAGAGAATGACAGGACATCCTCTGTGCCTCTGAATTGTGTTTCCTCTAATCTGGTGTTTTATTGCATGCCATGAACCATTTTTGATTGGATTAGGATCGTTATGTAATGTGTTTGATTTGGTTTTAACAGATGTATGCGATTACTGCTTGCATAGACTTAGTGTTGTGTTCGGAACTTCTTGCAGCAGTTAATTTGCCACAACTTTGTAGAAAAATATGAATTGGTTAAAGCCCTTGGAGTTTTTCATCTTGTTTTCTTTAACTTTATTACATTTATTTTATCTAGGGAGCTACAGTATATTAGTGAAGAGCTAGGGTTCTTTCCAAAGTATAATTTCATCCATTCATTAGGCATAACCCATGTTACAGTGGGGAGAACAAGTATTTGATACACTGCCGATTTTGCAGGTTTTCCTACTGGCAAAGCATGTAGAGGTCTGTAATTTTTATCATAGGTACACTTCAACTGTGAGAGACGGAATCTAAAACAAAAATCCAGAAAATCACATTGTATGATTTTTAAGTAATTAATTTGCATTTTATTGCATGACATAAGTATTTGATACATCAGAAAAGCAGAACTTAATATTTGGTACAGAAACCTTTGTTTGCAATTACAGAGATCATACGTTTCCTGTAGGTCTTGACCAGGTTTGCACACACTGCAGCAGGGATTTTGGCCCACTCCTCCATACAGACCTTCTCCAGATCCTTCAGGTTTCGGGGCTGTCGCTGGGCAATATCGACTTTCAGCTCCCTCCAAAGATTTTCTATTGGGTTCAGGTCTGGAGACTGGCTAGGCCACTCCAGGACCTTGAGATGCTTCTTACGGAGCCACTCCTTAGTTGCCCTGGCTGTGTGTTTCGGGTCGTTGTCATGCTGGAAGACCCAGCCACGACCCATCTTCAATGCTCTTACTGAGGGAAGGAGGTTGTTGGCCAAGATCTCGCGATACATGGCCCCATCCATCCTCCCCTCAATACGGTGCAGTCGTCCTGTCCCCTTTGCAGAAAAGCATCCCCAAAGAATGATGTTTCCACCTCCATGCTTCACGGTTGGGATGGTGTTCTTGGGGTTGTACTCATCCTTCTTCTTCCTCCAAACACGGCGAGTGGAGTTTAGACCAAAAAGCTCTATTTTTGTCTCATCAGACCACATGACCTTCTCCCATTCCTCCTCTGGATCATCCAGATGGTCATTGGCAAACTTCAGACGGGCCTGGACATGTGCTGGCTTGAGCATGGGGACCTTGCGTGCGCTGCAGGATTTTAATCCATGACGGCGTAGTGTGTTACTAATGGTTTTCTTTGAGACTGTGGTCCCAGGTCTCTTCAGGTCATTGACCAGGTCCCGCCGTGTAGTTCTGGGCTGATCCCTCACCTTCCTCATGATCATTGATGCCCCGCGAGGTGAGATCTTGCATGGAGCCCCAGACCGAGGGTGATTGACCGTCATCTTGAACTTCTTCCATTTTCTAATAATTGCGCCAACAGTTGTTGCCTTCTCACCAAGCTGCTTGCCTATTGTCCTGTAGCCCATCCCAGCCTTGTGCAGGTCTACAATTTTATCCCTGATGTCCTTACACAGCTCTCTGGTCTTGGCCATTGTGGAGAGGTTGGAGTCTGTTTGATTGAGTGTGTGGACAGGTGTCTTTTATACAGGTAACGAGTTCAAACAGGTGCAGTTAATACAGGTAATGAGTGGAGAACAGGAGGGCTTCTTAAAGAAAAACTAACAGGTCTGTGAGAGACGGAATTCTTACTGGTTGGTAGGTGATCAAATACTTATGTCGTGCAATAAAATGCAAATGAATTACTTAAAAATCATACAATGTGATTTTCTGGTAAGAGCATTGAAGATGGGTCGTGGCTGGGTCTTACAGCATGACAACGACCCGAAACACACAGCCAGGGCAACTAAGGAGTGGCTCCGTAAGAAGCATCTCAAGGTCCTGGAGTGGCCTAGCCAGTCTCCAGACCTGAACCCAATAGAAAATCTTTGGACGGAGCTGAATGTCCGTATTGCCCAGCGACAGCCCCGAAACCTGAAGGATCTGGAGAAGGTCTGTATGAAGGAGTGGGCCAAAATCCCTGCTGCAGTGTGTGCAAACCTGGTCAAGACCTACAGGAAACGTATGATCTCTGTAATTGCAAACAAAGGTTTCTGTATCAAATATTAAGTTCTGCTTTTCTGATGGATCAAATACTTATGTCATGCAATAAAATGCAAATTAATTACTTAAAAATCATACAATGTGATTTTCTGGAATACATTTTTAGATTCCGTCTCTCACAGTTGAAGTGTACCTATGATAAAAATTACAGACCTCTACATGCTTTGTAAGTAGGAAAACCTGCAAAATCGGCAGTGTATCAAATACTTGTTCTCCCCACTGTAGCTGTCAGATCTAGTCTATATTTAACTACATTTACATCCACTAAGACATTTAGTTGATGAAATACTAACTATGGAGTCCCCAGATTTAGCTAATTTAAATGTATCTTCAGACTTAAGTGTAATCACCCATTGCCATTGGAACATTGCAGTAAAAAAGGGCTTTATGTTTATGAAAATGACTCTACTTCATTAGTATGTACTAATGAATATTGATTGGATGCTGTTGTCTTTTAGATTGAACATGGAGGAGCGGCTTGGATCCCTGATTCTGGCCACGGACATCAGCAGGCAGAATAACTATCTGTCAGAGTTCAGGACGCACTTGGACAAGAGAGACCTCTGCCTCACTAGTGGAGGACATCGACACTTTATCCTTCAGGTGAGCAATGGGTACCACCTAACAAAAATAGCATTAATGACTGTATTATCCATCGCCCTTTTCCACTTTTGTGGCATTAAGAGATCATCATCTCAGAGGCAATGAAGTGTTGCAAAATGTGCTGCTTGAAACAGTAAAAGTGAATCATCCGTGCGGTTGAGGCTGATGGAGGAAAGAGAGCGAGCGAGACATACTGAGCGATATGTTGTCCTTTTCCTGAGTCTCCGCTCTGTTTTCCCCATTGACCCTGTAAAGATAGCTCTGAAGTGTGCGGACATCTGCAACCCCTGCCGACCGTGGAAACTCAGCAAACAGTGGAGCGAGAAAGTGACAGAGGAGTTCTTCCACCAAGGTACTATATCATGAAACCCTGTACTGGGCTAATCCCTTTTAATCTTAGTCCAGGTGTTTATTAAGAGTGCACACAAGCGTGACAGTATGGTTTATATAATGAGTATTAACCAATCCTTCTTTTCATCAGGTGACATTGAGAGGAAACATAGTCTTGATGTAACCCCACTCTGTGACAGGCAATCCAACTCGGTTGCCAATATACAGATTGGTAAGGTTACCCCTCTTAATCTAAGTCCGCTATAAGCATATGATTAATTGATATTTTATTATGATTTGGTGTCCTGTCCAGGGGATGTACATCAAGCTGCCTCACGCTACAGAAACAATAGATACTCCTGCCCTCTGGGTCATTCTGGTTCAGACAAGGCTACTTACTGTACTTGTAATGATTTAAAATGTGCTCCTACTTAATATTTGTACATTTGCTTGTGGTTGTGTTTTTCTCCTCCTGACCTTAGCAGCATTGTGTGATTTATTAGTCAGAACTTGCTCTGAATGAGAGATGTCTTCGTCTCCTGCAGGCTTCATGACGTACGTGGTGGAGCCTCTGTTTGTGGAATGGTCACGCTTCTCTGACACACGGCTGTCCCAGACCATGATGGGCCACCTGAGCCTGAACAAGCAAGGCTGGAAGGAGGGTAGGGACAAGCAGGAGGCTAGTGCTAGTAGGGCCTCAGAGGAACAGAGGTCTTCTGCTGCCAAGGACTCAAACTCCAAAGAATTACCTCAGGGAAGCAAACGGTCATGACACACCAAGAGAGTGAAGTGTCAGGAAGTTAAGAGAATCTCCACATAGGACAGAAACTACATTACCCATCACTCCCTGTACCACGGCACCTCAGCCACATGCTCCCCATCTAGGTTAACCACTGTTTTTGTTTTTCACATAATTTAACTTAATTTATTGAATTTGGACCCTTTACTTTAACAACATAGAGCAATACATAGATACCTCATGTTGCTTCTGCTGTATTTTGTTTTTTTATTTCATATTTTATTTATTTTTACTGTAGTTTTGCTCTGACATCACTAATTTGACAATCCACCCTTTGAATGGAGACCTGAAGGGAATGTTTTCAAAAAGACCCTTCTGATTAAAGTGCCATTTGCAAACATTTTGTTTTAATGTTTTTAAAGTGAGAAAGTGAGGAAACCTTCTATTCAGAGAGAGGTTCATGTTGAGTGATTGAGACAAACTTCTGTGGGTTTCTGCATTTCAGACTAAAAGTAATACTTCCTCGTACAATAAATAATGTGAAGAGCCCACTTCAATGCTGCCTCTGAAGACTGTTTACAAGCATCTACTTTGTGTTGTATTTTACAAATTAAACATTGGTTCTGTAAAATAAAAAAGTACATACTGTATGTGAATAACCACTCACATGATATAATTGTCCTGTTGACAACATACTGAACAAACATCTGATTGCAGATCAACACACCAAATGCCCTGAAAGGACTGTTTTGGTCCGTTTGTTGCTCCTTGCACTGTGAACTATAACATGTTTTATGACCCAAGACTCAGAGACTAATTGTGTGAAAAAAGTATATTTGATGTGGTATGAAATCAATTTCTTTCTTTACCTGTATGGTGTTGGGGATTTAACCATAGCCTGATGTTTTGTAAGGGGGAAAGGGGGCATGCATGTGGCCTTAACCACAGAAATAGAATCTAGATTCTATTTCTATGGCCTTAACATTCTTTCAACACTTGAATAACCACTCTTCCATACTAGTAACAGATGACCAGAGTTATAAGGAATAAACAGCAAGACTACTTATTAAGAGAAATTAGGAGGTTGAAATTAGGAGGTCTGCCTCTGGTAGATCTGCGCCATGACATACAATGTTATTTTAGAGAGTTGAAGCCCTTTCTAGAATGCAAACAGGCAACTTTTAAGACTGGTAACAGATACTTTAAGCTATGCACAAAACTAAGTGACCAAACCAGTTGTTTTTTAATAAGGTGGATCATGTATTCTCAATGCATTGTCTGACTGTTTGCCTCTGGTGTGGAAGGAAAGTACTAGGCATTAGTAGATTGGACAGTGACTCAGTCAAGATAAAACATTCCATATTTAATTTATTTTTGGTATTGTTTTTTGATTCTATACACAAGGCACGATCGTGTCTCTGGTTGGACTTTCAGTATATTGAATGAAAACCGGTGCTTTTCATTATTATGGCAAAACATTTTATTTTCTGGTAACTGAAAGACTGTTTGATATAACTGTTTACCATGTTAATGTAAGTCATTTTGGGCTAGATACTTGCGTGGCAAACTATTTTGTGAAACGCTTTGCCAAATTGAAATTTTGATACATGCCAGTTGCAGTTACATTTTCATTAATAAAACAACTTGTCACACGTGCGTGCTTTCTTTTCCTCTCTTTTCAGCAGTCTACAGTTCTATAATGTTTTTATTAAAGATACTGGGGCGTATACAGTAAGCTGATTCTGTTACAAAACGCTTCTTAAACGCAATCAAACGGGGAGGGACCTAGACATAATTAGACGTTAGTAATTTAACAGGATATCTATGGGACCTACCTGAATTTGTCCAAAAGAAACTCGTTATAGTTGCACGTTTTGCAACTGTTTGGACTAATGATTACACCACAGATAACTAAGCTTTCCTATGATATGTGGTTTGTTTAAAAATAGCGCTCTGCAGAGGCCTGACAATACAGATCTAGGATCAGTGCATTGAGGATCAGTGTTAAAAAATATAAACCGCAAAACTGATCTTAAATCAGCATACCGAGGCATCATCTGACATCAGGCACCAGGGCCAAGAACAATGAAGCTGAATGGCTTGTGAAGTGAGCATGTAGCCTCCAACGTCCAATCGGAGACGTTTATATTGCAGTGGCCGCTTCGAACAGTCCTGTCCAGTTTGTGGCTGGCCGAATACCACATTTGTAATGCAATAATAACAGAAAACAAAAGCGTCTGGCTACATTTGTGTTATTTCACCCGTTGGATTTTGTTCATGCTGTCTTTCTTGGACGCTGTGAGCACATTGTGCAGGTCGGAAGAGGCATTTATTTGAAGGTATGCGGCTGTGTTGCTAGCTTACGTTCGTTAGCTAGCATACCCTAACTAGCGAGGTTGTGTCCAATCGTCATGATTTGAGCCATTGTTTTGCTAAATACTTTTGTAATTGCCTGCCAAACATAATGGTGTATCTATATTGCAAGCTTGGTAGCTAATATCATACCAATTATTGCTAAATTAGTAGCTAGAGTGAACACGGTCACCCAATCCCACCAGTATCGAGTTAACTAAATGCACTAACGTTAGCTAGTTAACTATCTCTTCCACGTTGGCTCGATCATAAAAACAATCTCACATATCCTCCTGACAAACACGTTAGCTAGCTAGATAGGTAAGAAGCACGCTTGGTAGCTAGCTAAGTTTGATCCTGGCAGTAAAATAAAAACCTAGTTATCTTTATCTACTAAACACATATTATATTGGAGTATAGAATGTTGCCCTGCGGAATGTAGCTAGCTACATACTGTGTTTACAGTATACTATTGAACTTACTATTGAGCTAGCGAAGACATTTAACAGCAAAAGTTGATGACATGTTTATTAATGTCAGCCCCTCCATATCTTCTCCTCTCCCTCTGTCAATTCAGTCTTGTATGGGTCTGTAAGAGGCATCATGAGTGGGGAGCCAGACGCTTTGGCTGTGGTGAACCATTTGAGGGATCTTGCTGCAGATCCTATGAACAGAAGAGCTATCGTTCAGGACCAAGGTTGCTTACCGGGACTCATCCTGTTTCTGGACCATCCCAATCCCCTGGTTGTCTACTCAGCACTCATGGTAAGGTCCCCTTGAGTGGATGCATTGCATTAAAAGAGTCAATGCACCTGGTTACTGAAGTGACTGGGACGCTTTGAAGTCTGTGTACTAGATACGTACACCCAACAACAACAAAAATGGTTGTTGGGTATCTAATCGTAATCTTAATTCAAATACCATGCTCCTTAACCTTGTATGTGGGAATGTCATTTTGCTGTGGGGTGAATGTATTCTCTTGTGTTTCTTGTGTTCCTAACTTGTGATTGTGTCCCCTCCAGGCTGTGCGCTACCTCGCAGAATGTCGTCAAAACAGGGAGAAAATGAAGGGAGAGCTGGGGATGATGTTAAGTCTTCAGAATGTCATGCAAAAGTGAGTATATGACCCTTGCGGAAGCCCAGATCATGATAGTGTTGTCTCACTCATCTTGTCTGTTGATCTTTATCAAATAGAAAATATTTTGTATTCTTTGCAACTTATCTTTTTCTCTGTGAGACCCAAGGTTGCAAAAATGCAACAGGTCCTAAACTCATGTCAAACACTACATACCTCATCTCCTTAGACCCAGTGGGGGGAAAAAAAGTATTTAGTCAGCCACCAATTGTGCAAGTTCTCCCACTTAAAAAGATGAGAGAGGCCTGTAATTTTCATCATAGGTACACATCAACTATGACAGAAAAATTGAGGGAAAAAAATCCAGAAAATCACATTGTAGGATTTTTAATGAATTTATTTGCAAATTATGGTGGAAAATAAGTATTTGGTCACCTACAAACAAGCAAGATTTCTGGCTCTCACAGACCTGTAACTTCTTCTTTAAGAGGCTCGTCTGTCCTCCACTCGTTACCTGTATTAATGGCACCTGTTTGAACCTGTCCACAACCTCAAACAGTCACACTCCAAACTCCACTATGGCCAAGACCAAAGAGCTGTCAAAGGACACCAGAAACAAAATTGTAGACCTGCACCAGGCTGGGAAGACTGAATCTGCAATAGGTAAGAAGCTTGGTTTGAGGAAATCAACTGTGGGAGCAATTATTAGGAAATGGAAGACATACAAGACCACTGATAATCTCCCTCGATCTGGGGCTCCACGCAAGATCTCACCCCGTGGGGTCAAAATGATCACAAGAACGGTGAGCAAAAATCCCAGAACCACACGGGGGGACCTAGTGAATGACCTGCAGCATTTCAAGGTCCTGGAGTGGCCTAGCCAGTCTCCAGATCTCAACCCCATAGAACATCTTTGGAGGGAGTTGAAAGTCCGTGTTGCCCAGCGACAGCCCCAAAACATCACTGCTCTAGAGGAGATCTGCATGGAGGAATGGGCCAAAATACCAGCAACAGTGTGTGAAAACCTTGTGAAGACTTACAGAAAACGTTTGACCTGTGTCATTGCCAACTAAGGGTATATAACAATGTATTGAGAAACTTTTGTTATTGACCAAATACTTATTTTCCACCATAATTTGCAAATAAATTCATAAAAAATCCTACAATGTGATTTTCTGGAGAGAGAAAATCTCATTTTGTCTGTCATAGTTGACGTGTACCTATGATGAAAATTGCAGGCCTCTCTCATCTTTTTAAGTGGGAGAACTTGCACAATTGGTGACTGACTAAATACTTTTTTCCCCCACTGTATCTCTTAGTTGCATTTCTTGCGTGTCCTGTCTTCTAAGATGTAGTGATTATATAGAAAAATAAGTAGAGAAACAAACATTCTGAGCCAGCGCTATAGGTATTTTTGAAAGTGTTGCAAAACTGTATTTGTAATTTTGCTTGGGTCTCACAATTAAGAGCCAGTATGTTAATACTATGTTGAGACTAAAGATTTTAGTCGTCTAAAATCAATATTTTCCCCCCTTAGGACAACCACCCCAGGAGAGACCAAGCTGCTGGCCTCAGAAATCTATGAACTCCTCCAGGCCTCTAACAGTGAGGATGTAGAGAAGCCAGAGGGGCCCTCTTGCAGACGCAAGGCCCAGTTCTTCCTGGGCTCCACCAACAAGCGGGCCAAAACAGTGGTTCTCCACATAGATGGCCTGGATGACTCTGTGAGTGCCCCCATACTGACCAATAAGTGTATCAATAAGGAGACGGGACGCTGTCATATTAGCTCCAGTAACATCTTTACTAAGATAAAACCGGATATGTTACACAGAGCATTATGGGTTCTGTAATACATCATGCTACAATAAGTAGCTATTAGCTCAGGTGACAGTTCTTGTAGTCCACTATAAGAGGTGAGGTGAGTTTATACAGTTATTCCCATTCATCTCCTCCAGAGCCGGAGGAGCCTTTGTGAAGAGTCCCTGTTGAAGATCCGAGGCGTCATCAGCTTTACATTCCAGATGGCCATTAAGAGATGCATCGTCAGAATTCGCTCAGACCTGAAGGCAGAGGTGAGTCACATCCTGTCTGTCCTATTAGCCTACAGCATACTCTAGGGAGGCAATGGAGGAGGGCAGAGACGAGTCTGTCTAATCTCGGCAACCCAGAACAAAAATCTTGCAGCTACTCGATTAGGTTCTGGGGGGGAGGTATGAGGGCACATCACTGCATTCTGTATCAGAAAGTAGGTCTACCCTCCTTGAAGTCTCGTATGCATTGCATTATTTTTTGTTTATAAAGCCCTCCTGCATGAACTTCCGCCGTACCTTACTTCATTGTTAACTTATAGACGTACGAGATACCAGACCCGATCTCAGGAATGGCTAACTCTGGAGAACTCTTCAAACTCCACTGAGTTAGGTAAATCTGCTTTTAGTTTTTTTGCACCTTATGGGTCTCTAAAATTGGATGAATTGGTGCCTCTAGGGCAATTCAAAAGGCTGGCTGAGGACCTTTTTACTGAAGAATGTGTTTGTTTTCTATGATTGTGTTTTGCTTTTAGTGTATTACATTTTAGTCATTTAGCAGACGCTCTTATCCAGAGCGACCCACAGTTAGTGAGTGCATACACCTCTTCACACTGGCCCCCGTGGGAAACGAACCCACAACCCTGGCGTTGCAAGCGCCACGCTCCACCAACTGAGCTACAGGGGACACCCTTTAATACCTTGGGTTCCAGTTTAAAAGCGAGGGACAAATGAATGGCACAAGATCACTTAATACTTGAAGCGCTATATTGGATTTGTAGTTTATTTATTTTTTGCACTTGTACAAGTAGTGACCAGTAAACAAATCAAAGTGCTGTTTTCATAAGATTGCTCTTTCACACTGACTAGTTCCTGAAACCCGTCACCTGACCTCTACGTGACATCACAACTTGCCCCAGCAATATGAGTCTTGTAGTTAATTTTTGTGAACTACTCAAAAAATTGATTTGTAGCTTAGTGTTTAATTTGTTTTATTATTAATTGCAGGCATCTTTAGTCACTATGATCAGTGAGTGGATGGCCTGTAGAGTTTAGGGATCTTAAATATCCAGGAACTACTTCTTGGGCTGCGCAATCATGCTGTACCAGGTACAGGACTCGTCGCTTACATTTACATTACATTTTAGTCATTTAGCAGACGCTCTTATCCAGAGCGACTTACAGTTAGTGAATACATATTTTTTTATACTGGCCCCCCGTGGGAATTGAACCCACAACCCTGGCGTTGCAAACGCCATGCTCTATCAACTGAGCTACATCCCTGCCGGCCATTCCCTACCCTGGACGACGCTGGGCCAATTGTGCGCCGCCCATGAGTCTCCCGGTCGCGGCCGGCTGCGACAGAGCCTGGATTCGAACCAGGATCTCTAGTGGCACAGTTAGCACTGCGATGCAGGCCTGAGGTCCACTTTGGCCATAGTTGGACAACCAGTCCGTCCACAGGCACTCATCCGGGGAGCTGATCGGACAGGGGAGGGAAGAGCAGGGGATGATCTTGCAATCGCAGCTGCTTTGGTAGCGTTGAATCAAGCGCATCATTTGTGTGTCACTCGAGGCCTCCCAGGTCCTAATGAATTTTCACCGTTCCATCAGTATTCAGCCTGCCTGTGATGAGGAACTCCTTGTTGGTATTGATGTATATATTGATGTGCATAGTGTATATTGATGTTTTAATGTCTATACATGGCTCATCTGAGAAAGAGACCTTGGTCTCAGCATGACTCCCTGTCGAAATAAAGGTTAAATAAAAAATACATAAAACTAGAGTGAGTGGCAGAACCAGGATGGATCCTCTTTGGTAGCTCAACCCAACTCTCTCTGAAAGTCTCGGGCAAGTGTATGGGCCAAAAGTCCCCTCCTGAAAGATGCCAGGTGTAGGCTCACACATGCAAAGTCTTGATTTGTCCAAATAACCAGTGACAAAAAAAACTGAAAAGTTGTTCCTCGTTTAAACGCCTGTCCACGAGCATCCTCAGCGGGGTCGGAATCCGGATGCATCCAGTTTTCAGGCGAAATAAAAGAGTATTTCTGCATTAACAATGCGACACTCCATCTTAACTCCTCCACATTTACTGGACTGGTTGAACAGTGCAGAAGAAAACCTCCCCCAACAGTTATTTTTCTCTCGTCAGGACCAGTAAGAAGTAAACTTCGCTCAGACGTTTATTCTACGCTACGCTTCATTAGATTAGTCCACGAGAGATAAAGGTGTCAGACAACTTGCTGTCCTGTTACAACATTCTGGAGAGGGGATGAAGGAGGGAATCATGGCTGATGTGTTGTTGGTGTTAATTCAAAACTCTGCTTCCTTTGTAGGCTCTGGGTTCTGCCATCGCCTCAACCGAAGTAATGAAAGCGCAACAGGTGGTCAGGGGAGAGGATGGACAAGAGGTTTGTCTTTCTGAATTAACTCCCAGTGTTTTGTTTGTTGTCTTAACAACAGAGCCTTGGTTGAATCAATGTTTTATAGTCTTTCTATTGCAATTGATTTCCCCGAGAAGGTCTGTTTTTTGGTCTACAAATATTATCAAGGAATTATCTTATCTTAAGGATAAAGCTTACAGAAAGGAGTTGGATATCTAATTAGAATCTAAATTCAAATACCATGCTAATTGACCTTGTATGTGGGAATGTCATTTACCTTTTGGTGCACGTTGAATTGAGCACTTCCTTTTGCCGTTCAGGTAATCATCCCATTCCCGGAGGATGGTTCGGTAGCGGTGGAGCAGAATGTGGATCTGCCAGACTACCTTCCAGAGGAGGAGAGCCCATCCCAGGAGCCAGACAAGGCTGTGACCTGCGTGGGCACAGGGCAGGATGGAGCAGGCTGGCTAGGCACTGCGGCTAACTTCCTGTCCCGCTCGTTCTACTGGTGACACTCCCAGGCCACCCACACCTCTTCAGATACTACAGATACAGAATCAGGCTCCCAGCTGCCAAAGAGCTGGACTGCCAAAGGCAATGTGTAACAACAAACTAGTCCAATGCGTGCAGTACACACATGCACCCACAATCTCACACCCACCTTGCACCATACAGAATCACCAAGCCATTAAGGGAGAGGACTGGCTTCCGGAATGGATTCTTATTTCTTATCTTTTGGGTTCTGATTCAGAGCTAGACTATTCTTTCTGCACATGTAAACGGGTCCATGTTTTTGAACACCAAAATGTCTTGTTGTGAGGAGCGTTATTGTGGTAGCATTAGAACTTGATCCATCATAAAGGGTCCAAACTTTGCCACAAAATGAAGTTCCTGTAGTTAGAAATATTTTTAAGGGAAGGATCTGAAATCGCGTTTGCATTAAGGGTCTTTTCCCCCTACCTTTTTATCTGACTTTTCTAATTCTTTGACCAAAAACTGACCCATCCTCCCCTTTTTTTGTCAATGGGTGTTCCAGAATATGCTGTAATCAACGTGTGTTCAGTTATCGTGCCTTTCGTTTCATTCTGTTTACATGGATACCCTTGTGACTGACTGTCAGCTTTAGTTCTGAAAAGTATTCTGCCTGTAAGGCTCCCTCCTTTGATATATTCCAAAGGTTACTGATGCAGACACTGTATAAATGCCAATGTGGGTACTCTTAAATTCCAATGCCTACTGAAGTCATTAATGGAATCTGTCGTGGGTTATGAGAAATGTTTACAGGACTGTGTGGCTGGTTGGAGACGAGACATTTTCTCTTCAGAAACAGCATGGAGATTTTGCACAGTGTGAACACTGGTATTCTCTAACAATGTGGTGTTGTGCATTGTTAGCTTGGTTTATGATAAGTATTACTCATTAAAATAACAATATTAGAATATCTTTCCTAAGGAAGAGCATTGTTCCTCTTTCAGGGACAGCCTCTGACATTTCCCCAATGTCTTGCGTGATTTAACACATAGTTAAAGAATATAAGGCTAAACGTAATCTCTCGTGGACAGACTACATAAACATAAATGGTTAAGCTTCTGACCAAATGACGCAATATTTAAGTTCTGGTTTAACCGAGATTAGGCTAAACCTAACATTAATAATTTTCTCTGAATATATGTTGATGGAAACACATTGTTAGATTTAATTGGAAATGGATTGGCCAGCAGTGTCCTTAAACCTGTGGTTAAAGGGAGCTCATGTGGGTGCTGCCTTAGGTCAGGGTTATCTGTAAGTGTAGAATGGTGAATGTTCTGGATGGTTCAGTCAATATAGTGGATCACTTGCCCATTGCCCAGCCTCTGAAATAGCTATGCTATCAGTGCATGTTAGTGTATGAATGGGAAATGTTTGTGCTGAGCTTATTATTGTTCAAAGTAAATCTCTGCATGAGAAGTATTCAGTTTGGACCACTTATTTTACAGATAACAACCTCTTTTTATAGTTCTCCCACTGCCTTATAGAACATTACAAATTTTGCCAAGAGTGTTTCTTGAAAGTCATTTTCTGTCTGTGGAGGAAAAAATCCTTGTATAGAATTGTCTAGAAATGTACCGTTGTCCTCTTCTGTGTGTTGTTGTCCTATAGACTCTCCCACCTCGTACAATCAAACCTGACTAGATTGTGTTCATCATGCCAGGGCAGCATGCATCTTATTTGTGAATACTGTCTAGTTCACACTCATCAATACTGTGCATTGGTTGCCAATGAAGTCATTCACCAAAAATATATTTGTCTTATCATTGACATGCTTTTTGTTCAGAAACCATTATTAGGTCAACTATCATAAATTAAGTCAGCCTCTTGTCAGCTTTATTAGACTCAGGTGAAATTACTATTACATAATCTACAATCTAATCACTCATGTATTTAAAATTAACCCCCAAACATTAAGTATTTCCTTTCCCTCCTGACTATTAAAGGGCAATTCAACCACTTTTCAATCAAATTTTCATTATCTCCAGTACTATACCAGTGTCTCCATATGTGACAATTGTGCATTTCTACCCGATGACATCAAAAGTTAAGACATTTTAAAAAGTGTTTTTTAAACACTATGAGATTCGTGGGGACCAAGAAAATACCCTCGCTCTGGCTAGAAACTCATTGCAGGTTTTGAAAAGCACTTTAAAAATTATCCTACACTGTGATGTCACAGAGAAGCATTTTATAGGACCTTTCTTTTATATTTTTAACCACGGATCATAGAAACACACTGTTTTCAGATATGTAGACACTGGTTTGGTGCTGGAGATGAGGTTGAAAAGTGGCAGAATTGCATTTAACATTACAACCTATTTATGTTTGAGTTGTGTTTCTTTTCACCAATACAGTATTAACACCTATCACACAGGAATGTTATGTACAGTATGTATGCACATCACAGGCATGTTTGCTGCCTGTCAGTTTGTCTGTAGTATTATGGGCCATTGTGGTTTTGATGTGAGTTATGATTCCTAAGTGTTATATCAAAGAATGTTAAAAACCAATGTTATTTTATGAAATATGTAACTGTTCATTTTGTTGACACTGATGGGATAGGGTACTGCCTCGTAAACGGAGGACATGACAGTTTATGCAACTTAATCAAAGATGAAAGATATTGACCATGTTTGGTTTCAATGAATGAATGAAATGTCCCTTTTTACTGACAACTGATGTCCTTCTCTGAGAAGTGTCTTTCTCACTTTCATTTAGTGTCAATAATGTTCTGTATAGTAGATAACTAATGCCCTTATCAGTATCGAAAGAAAGTCAAACCCACTGACTTGGCTTCCCTCTAATGTACAGTACAGTATGATTCACTTGTGATTGTATTCCCAGAATAGTGGAGAGAAACAGAATGTTGGTTCCCTGGGACATTACTAAAGGGCCTTGTCTTAGAGCTCCTTCCCAAAATGCATGCTCTTCTCGCTATTACTTTGGACCCAATAGGCTTGGCAAATGTCCAACCTCCTACATTTGAAACTAGTGGGGCCCTGGAGAGGAGAACAGAACAGAGGATGAGGATTATGCTATTGTCCATCTTGGCCAAGGGCCTCATTTATAGGTTTAGACTTCAGCTCTTGCCACTGACTTGCTGCAATCCCAGCTCTCATGGAAGCTGCTCAACTGGAAGAAAAACGTGCTTCAACTTGCACTTCCAAACAGCTACAGTGGCTTGCAAAAGTATTCACCCCCCTTGGCATTTTTCCTATTTTGTTGCCTTACAACCTGGAATTAAAATGGATTTTTTTGGGGTTTGTATCATTTGATTTACACAACATGCCTACCACTTTGAAGATGCACAATATTTTTTATTGTGAAACAAACAAGAAATAATACAAAAAAACAGAATACTTGAGCATGCATAACTATTCAGCCCCCCCAAAGTCAATACTTTGTAGAGACACCTTTTGCAGCAATTACAGCTGCAAGTCTCTTGGGGTATGTCTCTATAAGCTTGGCACATCTAGCCACTGGGATTTTTGCCCATTCTTCAATGCAAAACTGCTCCAGCTCCTTCAAGTTGGATGGGTTCCGCTGGTGTACAGCAATCTTTAAGTCATACCACAGATTCTCAATTCGATTGAGGTCTGTGCTTTGACTAGACCATTCCAAGACATTTAAATGAAACCACTTGAGTGTTGCTTTAGCAGTATGCTTAGGGTCATTGTCCTACTGGAAGGTGAACCTCCAGCATGATGCTGTGTTCTAGGGGTGATGAGAGGTGTTGTGTTTGCGCCAGACATAGCGTTTTCCTTGATGGCCAAAAAGCTCAATTTAAGTCTCATCTGACCAGAGTACCTTCTTCCATATGTTTAGGGAGTCTCCCACATGCCTTTTGGTGAACACCAAACGTGTTTGCTTATTTTTTTCTTTAAGCAATGGCTTTTTTCTGGGCACTCTTCCATAAAGCACAGCGCTATGGAGTGTACGGCTTAAAGTGGCCCTATGGACAAATACTCCTATCTCCACTGTGGAGCTTTGCAGCTCCTTCAGGGTTATCTTTGGTCTCTTTGATTAATGCCCTCCTTGCCTGGTCAGTGAGTTTTGGTGGGCGGCCCTCTCTTGGCAGGTTTGTTGTGGTGCCATATTCTTTCAGTTTTTTAATAGTGCTCTGTGGGATGTTCAAAGTTTCTGATATTTTTTTATAACCCAACCCTGATCTGTACTTTTTTCTTTTACATTTTAGTCATTTAGCAGAAGCTCTTATCCAGAGCGACATACAGGAGCAATTAGGGTTAAGTGCCTTGCTCAAGGGCATATCGACAGATTTTTCACCTAATCGGCTTGGGGATTAGAACCAGTGACCTTTTGGTTACTGGCACAACGCTCTTAACCACTAAGCTACCTACTTCTCCACAACTTTGTCCCTGACCTGTTTGGAGAGCTCCTTGGTCTTCATGGTGCCGCTTGCTTGGTGGTGCCCCTTGCTTAGTGGTGTTGCAGACTCTGGGGCCTTTCAGAACTGGTGTATATATACTGAGATCATGTGACACTTAGATTGCACAAAGGTGGAATTAATTATGTGACTTCTGAAGGTAATTGGTTGCACCAGATCTTACTTAGGGGCTTCATAGCAAAGTGGGTGAATACATATGCACGCACCACTTTTCCGTATTTTTTTTTTTTAATTTCACTTCACCAATTTGGACTATTTTGTGTATGTCCATTACATGAAATCCAAATAAAAATCTATTTAAATGACAGGTTGTAATGCAACAAAATAGGAAAAACGCCAAGGGGATGAATACTTTTGCAAGGCACTGTATGTCCACACAACAAGTCTAGATTTAGTTATACCGCTGGGTTGGTCATTTATTTAAGTAGATGTGAAACAGCTGCAAGACACACAGACAGAAAAGAGCAGTGCCGTAGTCGTCATGGCAGACTGTCTGTGACTGACTGACAATCATAATGAAAATGCAGAGGAAGCAGAGCCCCATGTGACAGCATCAATGGGATTCCTTTTGGGAATCTGCCCGCTGTCATCACCATAGCTGCCCTTTTGTTCATGTTGCAACAATGGGCAAACTCCATTCACTCCATGCATACTGTAAGAACAATCAAAAAGGAAGCCTCTGCTTTTTACCCTTGTATTCAGGAGCTTACCTCAGTCTGAAATACAATAAAGTAGACATAAGGTGTCAGTGTTGCATCACCACTGTTGGCCACCAAGCTGCTTGAGGTGAATGAACAGAGAAATGCTTGATCATATAGATTGGGCCTATATGTTCTCTTATTTTGTAATGTTAATATGTTTTGTTTAAAAAGTGATCCAAAATGATCAATCAATTACAGTAGCACATAATACTTCAGGTAATCTTATGTGATATTACAGTAGAAAGAGCAGAAAGAAACATGCAGAGCCATGATATGTAAAAAAAGGTGGTAATTTACCGCCTGACAATAGCTATTCCCATACAATACAATATGTTGTCTGCATGAATGCTGTTATGTATTAGGCTTCCTCTTAGTACCGTCTATTCGTAGTTACTAGAGGGGAATACTTTTATCGTCAGAGGGGCGTAAGAGAGACCTGTGCCAGGACCTACTGAAAGCTGTTACTTAGCAACACAGAAACTACCACAGGGGGTTCTTAGGGACAAGAAGGAGGTGGCATGAGCGAGGCCACAGGACGTTGATATAGCTATGCTAAATAGAATAGTGCTTACTGTGAGTGCATGCAACATTATTTTGAACGAGAACCACTAATACCATTATTGGTATTAACTATCAGAGCCTGTCTGAACTTGCTGTGGGTGGAACAAGCAAACTATAATGGCCATACTGAAATCTCAATAGAGGTTGTAGATGATTTGTTGCTGTCACAGCAAGTGTGTCCTTTAAGAGGGGCTAGAGCAGGGTTCTTCAATTCCGGTCCTGGAGGGCCGAAACATCTCTGTTTTTCATCCTCTCCTTCTAATCAGGGGCTAATTCAGACCTGGGACAACAGGTG